GGACCTGGGAACCAGCTGACTGTACACAGGAGGGAGGAGCACGCTGACACTCCAGGACCTGGGAACCAGCTGACTGTACATAGGATGGAGGAGCACGCTGACACTCCAGGACCTGGGAACCAGCTGAGGGTACACAGGGCTAAGGAGCACACTGACACTCCGGGACCTGGGAACCAGCTGACTGTACACAGGGTGGAGGAGCACGCTGACACTCCAGGACCTGGGAACCAGGTGACTGTACACAGGGCAGAGGAACGCGCTGACACTCAGCCTGCACTAGCCCCATGTCCTTCTAGCAGCCTAGGAGGGAAGTCCTGCTCTCATCTCCATTTTACAGCTGGGGAAACCGAGACAGAAATGGGCCGGGAGGCCAAGGCAGGACATGATCTACGGTCTGTGGGATGCCACAGTCTGAAGCCTTGCCCCGCCCTGCTCCAGCCCTCACGGGTGATGATGGCCAGTCCCCAACAACTCTGCCCAGCCAGGGTCTCCTCAGGCTTGGCTCCCTACCTTGGCTGTACTGCACAGCGGAACCCCAGTGGTAGAAGGAGGCGCTGCCTGGGGAGAGGTGCAGAGGCTGACCGTCGGTCTGGGCACACTGCTCTGACATGAAGTCCAGCTGGGTCTTCCCGCAGGCCTGGCCGGGTGGAGGCAGAGGACAGGCATAGCAGGGGCCCTCGTCCCAGCAGACAGCACACTGTGACCCCAGCCCTGGGCTGTGGTTCGGCTCCCTGCTCTGAAAAGTGGGGGAGACAAAAGTACCTGCCCCTGCTGATGGGGACATGCCGAGATTTGCGAAGGACACCGTCAGTCAAGGAGAAAGCAGAGCCAGAGCACCACGTGGGAGCCTCTGGTCCCCAAGTGTGCACTCAAGCAGACACACTGGTCACGAATGTCCACTGTGGAGCATTGGTGGCAGGTAACAGGGAGACTATAGACCACCAGAGCAGAGGGCCCCACAACACAGCCTGTACCCAGACTGAGAAAAGAAGCAGAGTCGACCTGCTGGGCAGAGACCCTGACCATGGCCATGCCCTACACAGGCCTGCCACCTGCACCCCAGACAAAAACACAGCCCTCCGGGTCTGAGGACGCCTTGAGTGTCCCTTGGAGGAGACGGGCAGGGAAGAACTATCAGACAGACAAAGCCAAAGCCAAACCCAGGACTGTCCAAAGTAGAGGCAAGCTTTAAATCAAGGTAGAAGAATCGTTCTACCACTTCACTTCACTAGGATAGCTAGAGTCAGAAAATGGAAAGTAACAAGTGTTAGTGGGGGGCCAGCAGGTGGCATGGTGGGTAACACACTGGATCCCACAAGGACCACTGTACAGTTCAAGTCCTGGATCCAATAGCTTGAAAATCACACTAGGGGGACCAGCAGTTAGCGTAATGGCTATGTCGCTGAACTCCCATGTAGTCGACCACGGTTCGAGTCCCGGACCCCGTGGCTTAAACACACGCCCGGCGCATGTGTGCGTGTGCCCAAGATCCCAAGAGGCGAATAGAGGAGAAGAGATTGCGGTGTGGCCATCCCCCCTGGGGGGTGATTTCTTGCTTTCTGTCTCTGTGTCTCTCTGTCTTTCTGGCGAGTGCATGCACCCTATAGCAAAAACCTCTCCAAAAAAAGGAAGGAGGAGGAGAAGGAGGAGAAAGAGGAGGAGGAGAAGAAGAAAGAAAATCACACTAGGCACACGTGCACTCAAAATCCTGAGAAAAGAGTGGAGAAGGGATTGTGGTGTGGCCATCCCCCCCGGGGGGTGATTTAGCACTTTCCCTCTCACTGCCTCTGTCTCTCTCTGGCCAGTGCATGCACCCTGTAGTAAAAACTTAAAAACAGGGAACCAGCAGTTAGCGTAATGGCTATGTCGCTGGACTCCCACGTAGTCGACCGCAGTTCGTGTCCCGGACCCGGTGGCTTAAAACTCACGCCGGGCGCGTGTGTGTGCGTGCCCAAGATCCCTAGAGGAGAATGGAGGAGAAGGGATTGCGTCGTGACCATCCCCCCTGGGGGGTGATTTCTCGCTTACTGTCTCTATGTCTCTCTCTGTCTGTCTGGCGAGCGCACGCGCCCTACAGTGAAAATCTCTAAAAAAAAAAAAAAAAAAAAAAAAAACTTAAAAACAAAACAAAAACCCACAAGTGCTAGGAAGGATGTGGAAAAACGGAACCCTTGTGCACTGCAGGTGGGAATGCAAAATGGTACAGGAATGTGGGGTTCCTTAATTACCCCATGGGGCCCAGCAGTCCCACCTGTAGGTATTGCTGTGGTTTGAACAATGGTGTCTTTCCCACAGTCTGTTGGGAACTTAATCCCCCCGTGCGACACTGTGAAGAGGTGTGGCCTATGGTGATTAAGCCCTGGGGCTCTGCTCCTGTGGCTGGGATTAGCACCTTTACTGAGAGGCTGGCTGGGTCCAGGACAGAGAGGGCTCCTGCCTTGCAGCAGAGAGCATCCCTCACCAGATGCAGAGCTTGCTGAGGCTGCGGTCTCCGACTTTCCAGCCTCCAGAACCACAAGAAATAAATCTCTACTGTGTATAAGTTACCCAGTCTGTGGTGGTTTTACAGCAGCACAAGTGGACAGCCCAAAGACAAACACAGGGACTCAGCCAAAAGGGGGAAACAGCCCAAACGCCCATCAGGCAGCGGGGGAACAGGTGCAGCCCATCCACACGGCAGCCAGTGTTCAGCCTTAAGAGGGACGGAGGCTCTGACACAGACGGCACACAGGTGAGCCCTGGAAACGCCAGTCGCTCAAGGCCACGTGGGTCTGGGTTCACTCCCATGGGACATCTGGAGCAGCTAAGGCCACAGAGGTAGAGAGCAAAGTCCTGTTGCCAGGGGCTGGGGAAAGGCTAGGGCTTTACCCCGGAAAGCTGGCAATGTTCCAGAAGCAGAGGTGAGTGGTGGGTGTACAATATCGTGGAAGCACTAAACGCCATAGGGCAATTCCGTTTCAAATGACTGACCCTCTGCTTCAGTCCATAGAGGACCCCATGGTCACACAGCTACGGGCTGGGCTCCTGAGGGACTGTGCCCATTGCAGACTGCTCTGCAGGACAAAATGGCACTGGGCAGGCCTCTGCCAGTCATCAGTAGGGCCATCCTGGTGGCCCAGTGTGGCCTGGCATGAGCCACAGATTAGTCACCCTGGCTCCCTCACCCTGCCAGGGCCCAGCACTGCCAGCCGTCCCCTCCCACCCCAGGAAACGGGCCCACCTGGGTGTTGCACATCTCAGCCTGGAGGTCAGCACCGATGCACGCACGCCCTCCAAAGGCAGGCCTGAAAACGCCCACAAGACACGGTGAGAGGGGACCCAACAGGGAAAGGTGGAGCCAGCCCCGTTCCCTCGCAGGGAGATGGCGGCCCCTCCGGGCCATACCTGGGGTTGTTGCATCGGCGCCTCCTGGTGACCACCCCTCCTCCACAGGAGCGGGAGCAAGGACTGCGAGGGCCCCAGCTAGACCAGTGCCCATGCACGGCCGCCACGGGGGCCAGCTCCGCCAGGGAACGGCAGTGACCCTTGGAGCACCACTGCAAGGCAAGGATGGCTTCCTCTCCCGCCACCAGGGAGACCCAGCACACACAGAGACACAGAGAGACCCCCCCCTGAGACACATGGAGACTCCCCTGTCCAGGTGGATCCCGTGAACACAGGGGACACCACGTACCCACCCATTCTGCCTAGGAGCCAGCGCTAAAGGGAAAGGGCAAAGAGTCTGGTTCAGCTCAGCGCAGGCAGAGGGAAGGAGCCTGCTGCAGGGGGGTGGGGGGAGGGTGGGCAGTGAGTGGCAAGACAGAGATCATAAGGGATGGCAGAGAAAGAGCAGGCCACGCTGCCGCTGAGGCAACCTGTCTGTAAAACACAGGGACAACGAAACCCTATTTCCAGGAGTGGGGGAGGTGGAAGCAGTGCCCTAGAACAGCTCCACTCTGGGAACTATGCAGGGGGTCAAGGACAGGGGCTTTGGACTCAGAGGGGGGGACCGATCTCCCACCCAGTGGGCAGACACACAGCCAGCCTATGATTGGCACTAAGGGATCTGCAAACCTAGAAGAACCAGCCACCTGCCAGGCCCCTTTGGAGGGACAGATTGGACATTCAACCAGGTAACCTGCAAGTGCCCTCAGACACTGCTACCTCTCCTGACCTCACCAGGCAGTCATCAGGGACAGCTTCAAGGCTCTCCACCCCAGCTCCAGCTCCACAGCTCTACCCCAGCTCTAGCTCCAGCTCCTAGGCTCTACCACAGCACCATCTCCAGCTCCAAGGCTCTGCCCTAGATCTAGCTCTAGCTCCAAGGCTCTGCCCCAGCTCCAGCTCCAAGGCTCTGCCCCAGCTCCAGCTCCACTGCTCTGCCCCAGCTCCTCTTTGACTAATCCCACCTCCATCAGGAAGAGGCTGCCAGGCTGGAGGTGCCCTGTGTGAATGCACACACACAAACATCCCTACACACACCCAACCACATGCATACGCACACCTGTATACACCCACACACATAACTGCACACATATACACACCCACACAAAAAAACACACAGAAGCACATGTGCACATACCTCTGCATACACCCCACACACACCCACATACATCCACACACCTGCATGCACAAACACACTCCTATACACACCCAACTGCATGCGTACACCCACACACACACCCACATACATCCACACACCTGCATGCACACACACACTCTTATACACACCCAACTGCATGCACACACCCACACACACACCTGCACACAGACACCCACACACAAAAAAACACAACTGCATGTGCACACCCCTACATGCATGCACACACACCTGCATACACACATCTGCATGCATACATGGGTTCTGACCTTTTCCACACCACATTCTGTCCCATCCAGGAGAGGAATGAGGAGGCGGCTACAGCGGCTTCGGTCCAGTGGGTCTGTGTGGCAGGACAGAGCCTGGCACGTGTCCTAGGGCAGCAAATGGGCAGTGAGCTCGGGGCCGCAAGGGCTGCACGGACTGTCCTTTCCAGACCGCAGAACACACGGGCCCAGCCCTCGCACTGCTCTGCGGGTACTGGCAGCCTGGGAGGACAAGGTACGACCCACTTGTCTATCAGAACGGAGCAATGACCAAGATCCACTTTACTTTTAGGGGCTCACAAAAACGCTTTAGTTTCTGGGCTAGCCAGTGGCATGGTGGCTAAGATGCTGGGTCCCACATGGCCGACTACGTGGGAGTCCAGCGACATAGCCATTACGCTAACTGCTGGTTCCAAGAAAAGTACATACGTTTTATAAAAACACTGAAATATTTCTTAATATTTTTACCTATGGATGCCCTGACAGCCCTGGAAGGAAGTCTGCCTGCCAGAGGCTTGCTTTGTCTCCCACACCCCCAGCCATACTTCTGCAGTTCCACTTGGAGACCACTTCCTTCGGGAAGCCCTCAGACTGATCCCAGGAGGTTGGAAGCCCTTGGTAACTGTGGGTACCCTCACCTCAGAGACCCTGTGGGCAATGGATATGCTACATGATCTGTGGGATTTGGTCAAACAAAAATGAGGGGGCTTTTGTTCAAAACTGTTTAAGAACTTTGAAAGGCAACTGACAGCTTTAAACCCCGGCCGCCTGGCACCTCGTGGATGCTCCCGGTGCATGTACAGGCGCCTGGGTGTGTGCGGAGGGAGCCGGCGCAGGGGGCTAGCTGCAACCCCAGCAGCACGAAGGGCAGACTCAGACTCGTGGTGGACTCACCAGGTGCTCCTTGACAAAGGTGCAGGCCATGGCGCTGGGGCCAAAGGCCACGCGGCACTGCTCATCAGCGCCATAGTAGAGTCCCGGCTGTGCGTCTGGAGGGCGACTGACGGGCCCAGGCTGCGGCTGTGGTGAGTCCCTCATGCAGTGCGCCTGGCCTGCGCTGCAACAGGGTCCCGGCTGAGGCTTGGGGTACAGGTGGGTGCCAAGCAGACCAAGGGCCAAGGAGGGAGGGAGGAGAGGGAGTAGGGCAGACAGAGGCAGGGTGGGACAGGGTAGAGGCATGGCAGAGACCATTGGATGGAAGGGTGGATGAGGCAGAAAGGAGTGGGTGGGCAGGAAAGGTCTGTGGGAGGGAGAGAGGGAGGTGGACATGGGACAGTGCAGAAGACAGGTAAGGGAGAATTGACCAGAAGGCCCAGAACTGGGGTGGGGTGAAGGGCAGGTGCAGGGACGTGGGGAAGAAAGAGGAAGTGGCGCAGGGTTGGGGACCTAGGGAAAGGTGGAGGTAGGAGTGGATGGAGGAGGGGCGCCAGGTTGTGTAGCTTGGAGGAGGGTCCTGAGGACAGGAAGTAGGGTGTATGCAGAGTGGACTGGGTGGGTCAGGTGGGAGTGGGAGCCCCATGGAGCTGGGTGGGGCAGGGGATGCCCTTCCTTCCCGCCAAGAAGCCGCTACCTGAGCAGGTGCTGCAGCTGCTGGCGGCTGCAGGTGGACCAGGCCAAGCCCCCGGGGGTGGTCATGGCGCTGTCCGCAGCCATCACATGGCCGCTGGGGACACAGTCACTGCCCGGTGCACCATCATGTTCTAAGCCGAGGCTGCGGGTGGACCACCAGGAGCCATGCTGAGTCCAACCGCCCAGCCAGTGTCCCACCTGTAGGGGGCGACGGCGCCGCCCTCTTTCAGCTAATAAATATAGAAGGGCCGTGAGATGTGCAAAGCAAACTGACCCAGGGTGTTGTCAGTGTCGGGATGGAATGGGGCTCCCAG